TTTGTTGCACGTTAAGTTCATTAATTGATGGCAACCTTGGCCAGGCACGGCCGTCTGACGGATGGGAGGAGGCAGAGCATCCACTGCTCTGGAATAACGATGCCTCCCGTGCTGCTCGGGATCGGGCACTGCGCGTGAGCCACACATGAACAGCAGAACATGCCTGGGAGTTCAGATGAAGGGCAGGGCAAGGATTTCCCTTCAGAAAGGAAATGAAGCAAGGGCAGAAGGAAGAGCAGCTGCAATTCTGTGTCATTGGAGGCACACAGAAACAGGCAAGCAAAACCTAAGGCTCTGAAGAGAATTTTCTCTCCTCCACAGTGGCTCCAGCCCTCCCACCTGCCATAAATACCCACCAGTTTGCTTTGCTGAGGAACAAGCTGGGAGTTGAGAGGAATCCATGAGCAATTTGCTGGAGAACAGGGAGGGAATCCTCTCCTCTGCAGCGGCAGGGCACAGCAAGGGCGGGCAGCCGAAAAGCATCAGCCAACCCACCTCGCGAAAGGACACCGCACAGCTGAAAGGATCGGACAAAAGCAAGAACAACTCCAGATGGAATTTGTCCCCATGAGGAGGGCAGAAATCACAGAATCATAGAATCATAGAATCACTTTGGTTGGAAAAGACCTTTGAGATCATCGAGTCCAACCTTTAACCTAACCCTGCCATCCCACCACTAAACCATGTCCCTAAAATGAGCTGGAGTGTTGCCTTCATCATGTCAAAGATAAGTGGGGCAGCAGCTCCAGACTCAGAGCAGCACAAGACCATCAACGGGTGGTGATCCACGCGTGGATGCGCCGGCTGGAGCGAGGGCTCAGCAGGGTGCAGAAAGGGAGAGGGCATGGTCATGGATGTCCTGTTCCAGCTCACGGCTGAGCTGCCCAGGAACATTGGTCTTGCACTTCTGCTAGGGATTAAATTGAAGACAGGCGAGAACTAAATCCAGGGAGGAAGAACAAGCACAGATCAGCTCAAATCTCAGGGCGCTGGGCTAGTTTTCCCCCCGCAGGTCCCAGCTGGGGTGTTTGCCCGGTAGGCAGCAGCACGACAGCGTTCAGTCTCCTGCGGGAGATCACCAGCCGGACAGGGGCACACACAGCGTGACACTACAGCGTTTCATTCTCCTTTTGCTCTCTAAATACAGATACTCCTCTCCCTCCCTAATCCCTGACACATTTGTTCCAGGCATCTATCCGTACCTACAATTACCAGCCACGCCAAAGGATCTTGGTTAATGCAAATAAAAGGGAAAGACTTTTATTCCGCCTACAAATCTTCTTTGGCTCACAGCTATGGGGCTGTGGGGTGAAATCCAGCCCTGGAGAAAGCCAAAGAGCAAAAGCCTAGCCCCGCTCTTGTGCCAAACTCTGCAGGATGGATTTACTGCTGCTGAAAGATGCTCACTTGCCTGGCTTTGATACCCCATTTGGAGGAAACGCTGTAGGGGAGCGAGCTTTGCGGGGCGTGGGGGGGTTCGGTTTGGCCATAGAGAGCAGGGATGGTGCCGTGTACCTGGGGCGGCACCGGGATGGGCACACGCAGGCAGCAGCGCTGCCGGGTCAGAAGCGCTGGGGTGCAGGAGGGGTGCGGGAGGCGAGGTAGGGTTAGAGCGTGTCTGAAGGCAAGAAGCTGTGTCCTGACGTGCCAGCCAGGGGAGAAGGGACCTGGAGAAGGGCTCAGAGCTGCAGCTGCGTGAACCGGGCAGCGCGGGCGTGGGCTCCTCCACAAAGAGTAAATTTGTCAAAAACAAGCAAACAAAATAAGAGTTTCAAGGGACAGAAAGAATTCATGGCTTCAGGTCAAATTCAGCAAATATTTTTAGCCAGAAGAGGGAGGGTGTTCTAAAACACCATTTTTAAATGTTGTAAGATTTTTCTTCTGCAATTGTCTAGATAAGAATTTGTTAGTTCCTCTCCAGCAAGGATGCCTCCATCTCAAAAAGCAGCACAGCAATATCGGAAGGGTTAAGTAACTCAAACAAAAATCTGCCAGGTTGGTCAGGATCACTTTGGTTCACTGAAACCTCCAAACATTGCCGTTTCAGTTTGACTGAAACAATTTTCCTCTGCCCCATGGGATTCTTTGGTTCAGCCACAGAACTGAAAAATCCATTATTAGCCTGGCTGTAATGCAAACTTCTCCTGCGCACCCCCTGCCTGCAGGCCTGCCCAGCCTCTCTGTGTGCTTAAATAGCCCCGAAATAGTATTAAATAATATGGCACACTCGGTTCTCAGTGTCCCTGCAGAGGTTTCCACAGGGAGCTGGTGGATGCGCCAGGGCCGCTCGGCCGCTCTGCAACAACCGCGTCATTTATTGTAATTGCTAGATAGGGCTGGGGACAAATCATTTTCTTAAACATTTAACACTTCATGGCCTCTGCACTGGTCTCCAGAATGAGTGGTTTAGCGAGAAAGAAACTTTTCTTAAGGTCGCCATTCCTACAAATTAATGACCAGCTTCCCCTTTCCGCGGTGCAAACCTTCCAGAAAGGGTGTGTGCATTGACCTAGGCTGGACAAGTCCCTCGCCCCTGGCAGCTCTGTGGAGCATCTCAGGAGTAACGACGCTGACGAGGCAGCGCTAACTAAGCCTTGGTTGGAAAACCCCAGCACAGTAGAGCAGCGTAGTTTTATAACCTCCTCCATCCTCTTCTGATGTTGGCTGTATGAATAAAACCAGCCTTTCAGCACCAGTCCCTAAATCTCTTGTTGCCGAAGCAATGACCCGTCCATTGCCCTGCGCTCCTAGCAGTGAGAACCTCCTTCCTTCTAAAAGGGGTTTTACTCACCAGTCCTCTCTAGGAGCAATGCAATGGGCCTCAATGCCAAGACCAAGTTTAATCCAGATGTCACATTTCAGCCCAGCCTAGGAAGGGACTCCTTGATCTCCATTTAGAGCTGAAGGGGCCGTATGTGTCCAGCGAGGAAGTGCTCATAGGGATTAAGATGTTTGTGCAAATGGAATAAAAGATTCGGCCTAAGATGAGGTGAAAAAGCAATGTTGGGAAAGGCTCCCAAAGCAAGGCAAAACTGCCCTGGGATTTCATCCGACGCAGGTGTACAGAGTGACCTAGCGGAGCCAAGCAAATCTACTGGAGACCAGGATTGTGAAGGGGAAAAAAAAAAAAGTTGAGGAAATAGTTGCTATTCTGTCAGTTGGCAAACCCACTTCCCTTCTGCAAGCATTGAAACGATCCCCTCGGGGCACTTCTGATCTGCTACCCTCACCTCTGATTCCAGCAGAGCAGAAACCGAGCTCACAAGACACAGCCTCCTCAGCCGAGCACTTTGCAGTGCGCTCGTGGTACAAAGGAGAAGAGTTACAAGCAACGGCCCGTGCTTCAACAGCTCTCTCATGGTGGGTGGTGTGATTAAACCGAAAATTAAAAAATCTGACCTGCTTCCATAGCCACTGCTGTGCCACCAGCCCCCAGCCCCAGAAAGCCCCAAATGAATGAATGGAAAAGGCACCAAATCGTTATGCGGAGCCAGCGTGCTCCTCCGAGTCCGGTGGGGTGGCTGGGAGCAGCCAGGGTCAGAGATGCTGGCAGCAACCCGAACTGCTCTGCCCCGCTCCCTCCTGTACAGACAGGGCTGCAGCTCGGCTCTCGCTTGCTCTGTCCCCCGTGGAATTTCCACGCTCAGTGACACACGCAGCCACTCAGCATACATGCATTTCCACTACCGGTTTTATCATCTGCCTGATGACTAATATTTGCCCAACACATAGGAGTTCTCCAACGCAAGGTGCCGGAACAGGGTGAAGGTTTGGGTTGGGGTTTTTTTTTTTGAAGTCATTTTAGGGTGAATTCATCACTCATGCAAGGAAGACAGCAGAGAGAAGCAGAATCTGGGAAAGCTGCAGCTTACACAGGTCAACTGAGGTCCCTCTGCCAAATCTGCCCTGCTTCCCCGCCACCGCCACTTCTGCCCAGCCCTGGACATCCCATGGGGCTCCGTCAATGCCTGATTCTCAGGGAGGGACAACAGAGACATGAAGGAGACTGAGACAGACAGACTCAGGTCATTTGTAATGCAAAGCTGGGGCTTTGCTGTACTTAAGTTTAAGGAAGCTACTGCACCAACTCACTGGTGAAGTGCCTGGGAAATCTATTCAACACATTTTTCTCCAGTACTTTGCAATATCCCATGATTTAGAAGGAAACCAATTTGTCTTTGATACTGCCCTTGGCTGGAAATGTAAACTGTAAAATTCTGAAAGCTGAGGTATGAATCCTTTCGCCTTCCCTCTTCTCCTTTCACAGCATACGCACAGAGCTGACACCTTCTGACATTTGCTGATCCGTACAGTCATTCACGGTGAGCACTCAGAAGGAAAAGGTCCGTACACAAGCACAGAAATATGGTTTCAGCATTTGTAGATGCAACAAATTGCACTTTCAGTCCACTCCTTGTATCCCTCTAAGAACTAGAAGACAACCTAGTTAGGCTCTAGTCCTAGCTGAAAACGTGAAGCATGTACAAAGCCCCATGAAGATTTATTTAAGATGGCTTTCGGCCTTTCTGCAAGTATTGTGTCCTGAGCTCAGGAGGAGACAAGAGCTCTCAGAGAACAGCCTGCGAAACTCCGTCGCTAACAGGCTGGGAAATATTTAATTACCTGGGAGATGCCCAGCCACCACAATAACGGGGGCTGTATAAATACCCACATAGAACAGGTACAGCTATCCCAGGCACACTACATCATCACTGCACAGCCCCCCCAAGAAGCCACTGACACCCCACCCCCCCAAGACAAACATCCTCAAGAAACTGAGCTCCACGGTGTATTCTGAAGTCAGAGGCAGGATACTGAAATCCCGATTCCCGATCCTGCAGCAAGTGCAGAATCTCCGTTATTTTCGCCATCATCACCTACGAGCAGCAAACCCCTCACTGCAGCGCGAGGGACTGGGAGCTCCGGCACCCTACGGCGAGGACGGTCAGAGCCTGGGCCGTCAGGGAACGCAGCAACCTGCGTCCGCTCCGGTCTCTTACCTCAGTGGGATCTTAATAGCCAGGTACCGGTCGATGGCCACCGCCAGCAAGCTGAAAATGGAGCTCTGGGTCAGCACCAGCACGAAGCAGGCGAAGAAGAGGCAGCTGTGAAAATCCACCTGGAACCCGATGCTGATGGTGATGGCGAAAGGGATGGCTAACAAACCCACGGCAATATCAGCCACGGCCAGGGACACCAAGAAATAGTTGGTCGCGTTCTTCAAGGTGCTGTTGATGGCCACGGCCCAGCAGACCAGGACGTTGCCGGCGATAGACAGCACGGCGATGATCAGCTCCAGCACGATGTAGGTGGTTTTCATCGTGTCCATGGCGAGGGCGCCGGGCGAGGCGCCAGAACTCTTCACCCGAGGAAGGTCCTTTCCCCCGGCCGCCCGGCCGCAGGTACCAACAGGCCACGGGGCAGCGCTTCCCGCAGCGAAACACCCATG